ACTGTTTTTCATCAATATGTTATAGGTCTCAGATACAAAACATGTGTCTGAAGTGTTTGGCTCCAAATACCAAACAGATCATTGCAGCATTACCCATAATCCCNTTATTGTTCTATTAATATAAAGGGAGGTCAGGTACTCTTTAAAACAGCTGCTAGTTATGGGTACTTTTTACTGAAGTACATTTCAAAGCCTCTTTACTTTGACTTGAGTAAAGAAGTCAGTACTTCTACTTTCACCAGAGTATTTTTAAACACGAGTATCTGTACTTCTACTTGAGGAAAGGATGTAAAAAATAAGTATTTTAAAGAAACAATTTAGCATTAAAAAAGGATGCAAAAAAACAAGTATTAAAATCAGATTTAAATTGAACTATACGAATAACCTTCACAGCTAAAAAACTAAAACACTTAGGACATTGAGTATATGGCAAACTACAGTGTATTATATTTTAAAGTGGAGGGCTGTGCAGACATGTGTGCACAAATCTGCAAAATGTGCCACTGAAGTTATTTTGACCTATCATAACAAGAAAGTGTCACTTCTGCAACATCTTATTTTTGCAATTTACAGTTAGATAAAATGAGATAAGAGATAAGATAGGACTTTATGATCTGAAGGAAATGGTTGTGCCAGAGTTAAAAAGATACAATAAACACAGCATATTAATAATAAAACGGAAAACTAACAGTGCAGTAAAAATAACTAATTGCAGAACTACAAGAAACATAGACGGTCAAATTATTAATATAACAAACTGTAAAAAACTGTACAGCGACAAGCAGTAATTAAAAGTGCAGATACGTCATTGAACATTATTCTTACTGCGAGTAAACTACAAACTCACGTCAGTAACCCACTTACTAAAACCTGTGAACCTTTGTTGGTAGCATTTCAAACTTTTTAAAGGAATATGCACAATATAAATTAACTACATTTCATATTGAGGTCACAAGATGACAACTGAGCAATTTTCTGAAAGCTACAGAAAATAAGTGGAACTGGAATAAAGATCACTTTTTACCTTTCCTCAAACTAGAACGTTTAAAACCAATAAAATGTAGGTTGGTGGTTTGTATCCCATGTCTGCTGAGATCATATGCATGTGGAAGCTCATTAAAAAGCACTTCCTGTTTCTGAGATCTTCTTTTGACAAGTCTAAGTCAACATGAAGAGCAGAGAGATCTTATAATCCTCCACAACAGCCTCAACAATCCCTGAACTAACAAAGGTTACATGAAATCAATAGATGAACCACGGAGAGAGGAATGAGCGGCACATCCTGTCACATCTGGACATACAGTTCACTTGTTATCAAACTAACCTGATTTTGATCCAACTGAAGCTATATGCAACATTCCTCTCTGCCATATTACTTCACAAACCTGTTATAAACAACACAACAAATCAATACTTCCCAAAGAGGTCAACGCCACTCTGCTTCTTAAAACTGGAGCAGTTTCCCAGGTCAAACTGGAATGGGATTATGGAGTCTGTAGAGAGCGCAGTCTGAGAGCTGATGGGCAACTTGCTCTTTCTGCGTTTTGGCAAAGGTCCCGAAAATATCCCTAAAAATAGTCTCTGTCTAATAACCCGGAAGGTTTCTGCACGTGACTTCAGGATGTAAGCCCTGCACGTTGTAATCCCTCTGTATCTAATATTAACAAATACAAATACATTTCACTTTTATCCTCCTCTGCTGCTCCACAAAATACATATTCATCGGGACACAGAGACAAATGTCTTCCAGGTGCTTTTATATGTGCATAACTGTTTGTCCCATAGATCAGATAGTGCTTTTAAAAGCCAGCCTGCTTTCAAATGGTAGTTCGCACTGAAACTGTGGCTGTCTGTTTCTATGAATAAACCCGATTCAAACCAATAACCCAGGCACTGCTCCTGATGGGAATCCAAAAAGCAAGCGAGTGGAAACAAATAGTACCTTGCAGGAGTATTGTTGCATTCATGTACTGTTGGAATAATCGGAAAAACGAGTTCCTGCCCATGATAATTCATAGAAATATGGCAGACATGGTAAGAATGAACATGACTGCGTTATAAGTTGTAACTGTTAGCTATTAGCTGTTATCTTATTACAGACACATGCATTTCCAAACATCTGGTCTACCTATGTTGTAAAATGTATTGTCTCTTTGATTTACAAACGGCATCTATTGCACGTCTGTCCGTCCTGGGAGAGGGATCCCTCCTCTGTTGCTCTCCCTGAGGTTTCTCCCATGTTCCCCTTTAAACTGTGGGGTTTCTCTGGAAGTGTTTCCTTGTACGATGTGAGGGTCTAAGGACAGAGGGTCTAAGGACAGAGGGTCTAAGGACAGAGGGTGTCGTATTGTCATACTGATATTCTGCACAAACTGTGAAGTCCACTGAGACAAATGTAACATTGTGATATTGGGCTATATAAATAAACATTGATTGATTGATTAGCTGCTCTCTGCATACATGTAAAGACACGTAGATTAGTTACACACATAATCTAGCGTCCGAGGTGTCAGCGCTTCTAAATACTCTTGTGTATAAGTATATTCTTGTGTATACTACAACTCAGCAACTTGTAATGAAACAGTGCCTCAGTTTTTTTCTGTTAAGTCCCTACAAACGACACACTTCCACACACCTGTGAATTCTCACCGCAGCATTCTTAATATACACTGTTAAATCAAACGATTAATTAGCGTTAATCCTTGTTACTGGCTCAACAAGTCTGTCTTCTTTGCTCTTTGTATTCACAAAACAGCTATCAGCGTATTCTTTTAACACTTAAAGACAACACATATTTGTATTGCTGCTTCCACATAACTATATATATACTTAAAGCTCTTGAATACCTGAGTGTTTGTCATGAAAAAGGAACACGTGAATGCAGCATCCGCCACAACAAGAGGTTCCTGGCCCTAAATCCACTAAATACAGGGAAGCGAGGCAAAACAGGACTTGAGATGCAAGAGAGGATGACAGAAAGCAAAAGCAATTTATTTGTGTTTTATTCTACACAGAGTTTTTCATTTGGTTGAAATCCTGACATATTAAAGCAAGTAACTGAGTGCTGGAGTTGTGGGTTCCAAAAACCCGGAGGAAAACCGGTAACGATGTTGAATATTTAAATAAATATTATACTATTTTACCTCATTATAAATGGATAGATTTATAGATAGATAGATAGATAGATAGATAGATAGATAGATAGATAGATAGATAGATAGATAGATAGATCGATAGATAGATAGATAGATAGATAGATAGATAGATAGATAGATAGATAGATAGATAGATAGATAGATAGATAGATAGATAGATAGATAGATAGATAGATAGATAGATAGATAGATAGATAGATAGATAGATAGATAGATAGATAGATAGATAGATAGATAGATAGATAGATAGATAGATGGATAGATATATTTATAGATAGATAGATAGATAGATAGATAGGTAGATAGATAGATAGATAGATAAATAGGTAGATAGATAGATAGATAGATAGATAGATAGGTAGATAGATAGATCGATAGATAGATAGATAGATAGATAGATAGATGGATAGATAGATAGAAGATAGATAGATAGATAGATAGAGATGGATAGATAGATAGATAGAGAGATAGATAGATACTTTATTGAATATATATATATATAACGAATCATGAGGGTTTGTCATCATCGGTTGTGTTTTGAGTCACATGTGCTTTTCAACTTGGGATATTATACAAAATGCTTTCACTGCTTTTCAATTTGTAGACGTATACACTTTCACAGAGTGCGATGGGGCCACTGTGGATGAAAGCGTTTCACAATAAACCAACATGATGGTGTGTTCAAGGTCTCTCCATCTGCGCTCGTTGATAATCTTCCCCCCCGAGCGTCCATGTTCTCCGACGTTCCCTCATCAAAGTTGGGATTTGCTTTAATTATCCCCGATCAATGCTGGCCGTGGCTATACTTTGGAGACGCGTGGCCAATGCTGAGGCAGCAACGAAGTGGAAGAAGGAAAGAGAAAGCGCTGAGTCGTCCTGTGCCAGAGTCTAATGTGCACACAGCGAGGAGAGCGAGGTGTGGGCTAATGCAAAGCTCCAATCATTAGCCCTAAGTGTTCCTCATTATGTTCCTAAAGCCTCTGAAGACCTGGATCCCTAATTGATCTCATCCTGGCATTTAGTAACACTCAGGAAAGCAAAGGGCCGCTCTCTTCCCTGGCTCCAACAGATAGGCGGCAAACACTCGCTCAACACTACAAATGAAGGCCTGATCCTCGGATGGCTGAGCGGCGTCACACACTCCACTGCTCCACCGTCACCAGAGAGGGGCATGTTCACATTGAAAGGGCAGGAAGCCAAACTCCCCTCGCTCTGATATCTTTTTAAAAAGGCCCTATTATTCCTTTAGAAATGTTCCTCTTGCCTGTAGTGTGTTATATAGGTTTGAGTGCATGTCAATGGTCTGCAAAGGCTAAAATCCCTGTGTTCCCAGATGGATTTCTCTCCCAAATGTTGGGGATCAGGATTACAGTGTTATTCAAAACCTAAAAAGAGCATTATAGTGTTTGTTGTAAAAGGATCATCTCTTTGTTTTTTGCCCTAATCATCTCTTTAAAAAATTGCAGAATCCTGTTTTTATTTATTATTTTAGATAGATAGATCGATAGATAGATNGACATTATCTGCCTAGCCTTCAAACTTGAGGCAAGTGGCAGAGACCAACAGAAGACATTTTTTCTGCTGTACCGAAAATGTACCGAACCGAACCGAACCGAACCGTGACCTAAAAACCAAATGTTGTGAACCGTTACACCCCTAGTAGCTAGAGTTAGGAAGAAAAGAGAGAGGCACGTCAGTCGACTGAGAGCAGCTTGGACCTAATCGTGGTGACGTGGTGTGTGAGTTTTGTGCGGCGCTGACCAACAGTAAGTCTATGTTACGCACACTGAACGGGATATTATTGAGCCTTTCATGGCATTTGAGTTGGATTGGAGTTTGCTAACTCAGGCTGTTATTGACATGTTGAGCTAAGCTACCGAAGCTAATGTTAGCATTATTTAGCTGTACCTTTCTCTGTTATGTTTGACAATGTTGGCAATCTCTAATGTTTGGATGACATATTAACCGGTTTAATTGTAAGTTAAAGGGACCTATCGTGCAAAATGCACTTTTGTACGTCTTTTATACATGAATATGTGTCCCCGGTGTTCCAGGGAACTCACCAAGTGTCAGAAAACACAACCCTCTCTATTTTCCTCCATACCCAAATCTCTTAAAAAGGGGCTGCAACGGATCTGATACAGACTGATCCAGATTTGAATACTTCTATGACGTCACAGAAGTGGCGCTACGGCTATTGGGCCAACTCCACCAATCAGGAGGAGACAGCCACGGACATTGCCGTTCCAAAGCGCTGGAGACGCTGTAGTACATATGCCAGGCCTGTAGATGGTGCTGTTCTCACAGAATCAGCCCATGCAAAGACAGTGTTAAATTGAACGAAATGAGGAATGGCTAAAATGCATGATCTTTTTGGTATTTTGAAAAACAAAAAGTATAAATATGCCTTATATAGGTATGGTCCTACACTATATTATTCAAATATAGCACGATAGGTCCACTTTAATTGTAGCCTTACTTGAGTGTGAGAGAGCAGAGGTGAGGCAGCTGAGGAAGATCCCGCTGATTCTCCTCCTCTTCTTCCTCTTCCTGTGGTGTGCTGGGAGGCTCTGCAGAGATGTGCAGGTCTCTGAGTCGGGGACAGGCCTTGATGACCTCCAGCAGAGGGGTGTGAGGGTTAGTTTTCACCCCCTCCAGGGTGAGAGAGACCAAAGAGGAGCCTGCAACTTGCAAGGCAGGAAGGAGCTCCACCAGAGGGCCTGGGTAGCGCACTGTGAGGCTCTGCAGCTGGCCTGAACACGCCTGGAGGCCTGCAGCCAACAGAGAGCCCTGGCTTCTTCCTCTAGTATCTTCACCATCATCGATGTTCACAGATATGGAGCGGAGGTCGGGACATGCACGACTCAAACTGTCCAGAGAGTCACATGATAAGCCCTTGACGTCCTTCAGGCGTAGGATCAGGCGTTCATCACTTGACAAAACTCCTTCTCTGCTTTTTGCCTCTGCTTGAGAGCGACTCAGCCCTTCATCGCTACTCGTTTCTGCTTCGTTTTCACTACCATACCCTTCCCACAATGTCCTCTCTTCTTCATCTTCGTCGCCTGCTGCTGCTCCTTCCCTCTTTTTCCTCAAACTGTCCTTACTCTTCCTCTCCCTCCATAGATCCCACAGCTGGGGAACTCCTTCTCTGTTAGTGAACTCCTCTGTCTGTCCAAACTGTTTTTCCTGGATGAGACAGCAGGCCTGTGCAAGACCCTCCATGGCCACTCTCTCCAGGTAGGGCAGGGAGAGGAGGAGGTAGGCTGCTGCCGCCACAGGATCTCCTTCTTGTTCCCCAAAATCAATATCCAGAGCCAGCAGACTGCAGAGGGGGAGAGGAGACAGGGGTGCCGGGGGAGAAGAGGAACTAACAGATGGAGATGTAGAGGGGCAACCAGGTGACCTAGAGGGACAGCTAGAGGGTGAAAAGGAAGCCCCACCACCGAGAGGAAGTAGTGCAGCCGGGGAGAGGAGATGACAGCGGGATATGTCCAGATGGCGCAGGAAACGACAGCGTTGGGCAATCGTCCTGATTACACATCTGTCACAAGGTGTACCGGCCAGGGAGAGTGAGCGCAGGACAGGAAGACAGCAGAGGGTCTCCGACAGGACCTTAGAGGACAGCTGCTGGGCTGCAGACAGGTCCAGACTCCACAGAGCCTGAGACAGAGAGAAGGGCATTATAGGACGAATAATAGGTCAAGTGGATAATCCTGGGCTTACATTTTTACGAAGACAGGTGACGTTAGGTAAGGGAGAATGACACAATTCGCAAAAAGCAAAGATAATGTCTAAAAAATAATGTGTCGTAAGAAATGTGCCAATATTGTGCAAAATAATTTGGTCGTAATCGTTTCTCTCGTCTATTTTGACCACCTTCCTTCGTTGACAAAAAAGAGGTCAATCATCATAACGTATTTATTATTTATATAATATTTGATTATCTCAACAGTTAATAAATAATATATTGGATAAATAGCCCTGTAAGTCAAAGTATATCTGTTAGATATTCTCATCATAAATTAAAAGCTCTAAATGGCTCAAACAATGGCCCAGACACAAGATATCAAAGAAACAATATAAACTTTGACTTTACTGGTCAATTCTGATAATGTGTCTACAGCTCTGTGGGTGAGTTTTTTTTATTAGCGGTGTATATATTTGTTTGATATAACCTACTGTCAAAATGCAAAATAAATCTGACCTGGCAACGTGCAGCAACGTGGGCGCAGAGGGCAGAGTTGACCAGGCCAGGACACTTCTCCAGAGAAAGGCCTCGGAGCTGGGGGACCAGAAGGAGGTGGAGGGCGGCCCGGGACATCTGCCTTCTGGAGCCCAGCAGCAGCGTCAGGTCCTCCACCAGCTCACCCGCTATACGGAGGGAAAAGCAAAGAAATAGAAACAGCCGGGGAAATATTTTAGCAGGAGTAGAAGTGATTAATAACCACAGGTGGGAAGTAGTGAAGTACAAATACTTTGTTACTGTACTTAAGTACATTGATCTGGTATCAGTAATTTACTGCACTACGACTTTTTACTTTTACTTCTTACATTTTTTTTACACAAATACCTGTACTTTCTACCGCGTTAAGTGGCGTGATCATGATTATTTAGAGTCATTGCGTGCCTATGGATTTTAACACGATCCGTGTATCCATCTTTTCCTGGTCTTCTCTAAAGAAGAGGGACCAATGCGAACTCGGCTCGAGTGAATTCGGTCAGAAGCAACTGCAGCGCATTATTATCCCAAAGATGGATCTTTAATGTTCTATTAATATAAAGGGAGGTCAGTTATTCTTTAAAACAGCTGGTATTTATGGGTACTTTTTACTTAAGTACATTTCGTAGCCCATACTTCTTTACTTTTACTTGAGTAAAGAAGTTTAGTCAGTACTTCTACTTTTACCAGAGTATTTTTAAACACGAGTATCTGTACTTCTACTTGAGTTAAGGATGTGTGTACTTTTGCCATCTCTGTTAATAACCCTGTAAATAACATGCAATTAAGTAAAGCTGCAAAAAAGCATGCATGTGAACTATAGTAATAACACCAGCCCTTATTCAACCTCTGATTCTGCACAAGAAAGAATTCCACCAGACTTGTATTTTCACTTAGCTTCAAAAATGTTCCTGATACAGGAAATCAGTATATTGCTCCACATTGGAAGAGTACGTAAAAGAGTAACATGTATCGTTGTCGGTTAAATGTTCCCCTCACACACTCACGCAGTAGGTTGAAAGGCCCCATGATGTATCTGAATGAGAAGTGATCCAGGTAGTTGTCGGCGTAGTCCTTCACCCACAGTTCCTTCATGTTTTCTGCCAGGCTGAGCAGACACAGCCGAGTCAACGACAGCAAAGAGCCGTCTTCATCTGTTTTCCTGCAGCTCCCCATCCACTCTTTATTTCTCTTCCTCCGGGGCCCAGCTTTGACCCCGCCATGTTTACCTGGAGCTCGAAACAGAGGCATTTCCAGACAGGAATTGATGCTGTGTCTGTGTGATGAGGGGGCTTCCTCTGTCTGCTGGAGGGATGAGGTGGGAAGGGAAAGAGAAGAGAAATAACATGACTGTTTCAGATTTACAATTTCAATTTCTTGAAAATTACAGAATGATTCTTACATTTAATAGCTTGTGAAAAAAAAAAAGAATAAGGGGGAGGGGATCTTGTTTTGATTGAACATTGGATTATAGTTATCCATATTCAATCAGTGCTGACGGGTCAAAAGTATATAATAATCAGCAAGATCAATTGTGTAGTATTATATTGTACACTTTATTGATCCAACATTTAAGTGACACATTAATGCATCACAACATTATAATCATTAACATAATACATATTATTCAGAAGTGGGCAATTCTGCGTAACAAGTAGACTACTTTGACCTTTGGTATATTAAAATCGTTCAAAAAATTAAACGCAGGACTTTTAAAAATAATTTCTACTCTGTGGTATACGTACATTTGCTAAGGTAAGATCATTGTAGTTAATTCCCATCTCCACTGTTGTTCATAACTACTTCAATCAGCTGAGAAGAGAAATACAGTAGTAAGGTTAGTTACTGTAGAGTAGAAGAGTAGACCGAATGAAAGGAATATAACGGTAAATAAACTAAAGTGTACTATCCAATGAAGGAAATATGTTGTATTGCATTAAGACCTACCTGTTGAATCACCTTAATGTCAATAATCCAATGCTAAGAAGCCAGGAGTGTAAAGAAAAAGCTAAGTGTTTGAAAAACCCTTTGCTCAGCCTGATTTACAGCGGCACTTCCTGGTCATAGTCAACGATAATTCCAACCCTGAGTTTTGTCTGTCAGGAACAATTTTTTATTCACGTATTCGGAGGACAACCTTGAACCACAACAATCGTGTTCTAATCCTAAATCAACCCCACATAATCAGTCAGTAATATTGAAAAATGTATATTTTTATCCTTAGGAATATGCTGTTTTAAAAACGTCTTAAAAACAGATTGTTTAATATTCATTGGTGTTTTTTTTCATGTCATTTTGACTATAACCAGCAGGTGCCGCTTTTTCTTTTATGTTTGGGATTATGTTTGTGATTCGCGGCCTAAGTAAATACAGTGAAACATAAATAGTGTAGCATTTACCTTTATAATATTAAGCCAATCCGAATTCAAACTAAAATAACACACTTGGATACCAGGCAGTACATCATTTCAGACATGATCAGTGCATACCGCTGAACTTCGTATCAGGGGGTAGCAAGAGTATACAGGAATAGAATATAGAATATACAGTCTTTGGTCCCACTGCAGTCAGCACAGGGCCGTTTCTTCCTATAGGCGGACTATGTGGGGGCATAGGGCCCCCGCAGACAATAGGGGGCCCCCAAGCTGAAAGTATTTTTTTTTCATCCGAAAAACAAAAAAAGTTTAATTCATACGCACAAAGATAAACAAAATTAGTAGAAGCGGGAGGGCTGAAGCATAGCTTGTGGAAAGTAGCCCTCCCGTGCATCATCCTAATACAGCGGCATTATTGCGTCAAAAACGTATAGAAATGAAGGAGTACAAAGAAATAAAGAAAACAGGAGAACAAATTAAATAAAAGTTAGGGCAGGAAAACAATAAATGCATATATATATATACCCCTCTTCTCAATACATAATACTTGTAGACACGCCAAAACCCCGCTCCTGTGATCGCAATGCATTTTTATATGTACAAACAGTGGTGGGCACAGAAAAACAGATGTCTAGAATATAAGCCTTCTGCATGAGATTCATGGCTGGTGAGCGCACTGACAACTGACTCTTCAGATTTACAAATATTAGTATTTTGACCTAAATCAAATAGAATATCTTGCAAAAGCTTTTTATGTCTGATGCTTGATTATTTGTAAACAAACAATTCAACAAGAGGGATATTCTCAAAAAATGTAATCTTTAGTCAGTGAATTATATTGAAGTGTTGCTCTCTTAGTAATCCATTTTCAATTAAAATTGCGGTTTACCCTCTTTTTGACTGAAGAGAAGTCCATTTGGCCTTCCATCTGGACAAAAATTTCTATTACTTTTTTTTAAAAAGTCCTTCCGTATCTCTGTAGTTGAATCTATCATAACTAATCGATAGATTTATGATTAGAAATTATAAAATAGCGGTAGACAGTGATATTGATCCGGCTGAACAAAACGTGGCATATGCTAACGATACGTTCGTTTCCCACAGATCTTATTTTGAGCTATTTTCTAAAAATCCCATGGAGAAATATCATTGCTTTTTGTGGAGGGAACCCATGCGCAGCTTACTTCCTGGTTTTAGGACGCGTCTCTCTCCTCCTCTTCACACACCACACTTTTCGCGGCACATGTACTTACAGCCAATCAGCTCTGAATTATGTGAGATGACGTTTGGTGGGGATGGCAGCTCTATGCCCCTATGGTCATTAATATTTTACCACACACATTAAATAGGACAATACTCTGAGCATGCGCAGTGTAGTTTTTATAGTCACCGTTCACTTAGAGAGGGAGAGGGAGGGGCATGATCGGGTTTTGTCCCACATGGCTCTAAACAGCTCAATAGGCACACACTGTAGACACTAATTAGAAGAACACAGACTAAAACAGCAATGTACAGACGAATCAGATCATTAACCATGATGTTAAAATATATTTTATATATTTCGATATTTATTTTTTGCATTTTTTTGTAATAACTATTTGTAATACTTTCTGCTGACACTAGGTGGGGTTGTGCCCCACCTGCCCCTAATGACCAGTCGCCACTGTGTGTTCGGTGAAGCATTATATGCTTACAAATCCAATGTAGGATATAAACACGACTAAACTGCAATGATAGCAAAGCTGTGGCTTGGGTTTTTGGGGTAATAAAGTCCAAGATTGGATCGTTGGGCTGTCAGCCCAACGATCACTCATTGGCTGTCAGCCAATGAGTGACGTCTGAGGAAGATGAAAAATGTAAATTAAACATAGTTGAGAAAATGCTGCATCTCTTGCATTTATTTACATAGAGGAGCCTTATTGTTTACCTTTTTAATATCATTTTTTGTCATTTTCAATTGCTTGGTTTTCGTGAAATTTGCCTCTTTTCCTATTCAAGTTTAACAGATTGATGCATCTCCACAGATCATCTTAAAGGCTTCGGAATCCCCCCCATTGTAGTTAAAAAACTGTCAAAACCAAACAGCATCTTGCATAGGGCCCCCAAAAAGCTAGAAACGGCCCTGAGTCAGCATGTCGTTGTGTCCCTGGGAAAGAGACTTCACCCCAATTTGCTCCTGTGGGGATTGTCCACAGTATTGAGTATGTAAGTTGCTTTGGATAAAAGCGTCTAACAAGTAACATGTAATGTAATGTACAGTGTTACTTATATCTGCATATCTAATCATAAAATATATTGTTTTAACCAGTGGTGAAATGTATAATTATAAGTATATTCACATTCACTCACACATCCACTCTTGATATACTTTTACCCCAATACATTTTGTAGGCACATTTTGTGTTTTTACTCCACTATGTTTATTTTACAGCTTAATTTACTAGTCACTTTGCTTTAGTTTTGATTTAAAAATATAAATCAAGAAATATTATTCAGCTACCCAGCATTATATTGAGTAATAAAACAAAGTAATATCATTACCGACCTTAAAGGGATGAACTGAATAATTACAATTCAATTAAATGGCCTAAACTTTATAAATCTGAAATGCTGCATGATAAGTAAAGACCTGTACATTAAATGACAGGATTGAGGTGTGTGGATGCATTTGAAGAATATGATACCTAAAATGTAAATCTTACTGGCTTATTTTAACCATGTGGTGCCCATGATTCCTTACGATAATACTAGGTTAGCTGACAGCAGATCTGCAACAATATCGGACTTACATTTTAAGTAATTTTCTAACAATAGTGACGATGGGCCAATGTTATAATCCCTGAACATCAACAAGGGCTTCGGTCCCAGCTGTGTGCATCACATTCCATGAGATTTGGCACATTTCAGTTTAGATGCATCCTTTTTGAAAGCATTTCTCCTATGGAAATGTTTTTGGGTCGCGTGTTTGCACTTACTTTAATAATATAATTGTGTGATTCTTATTTGCTAATGTTTATCTGTATTTACTACTTTTCACACTTCTTAGCTAAGCTTGGGAAGATTGCTTATTAAGAAGATTTGATGCAGTGTTGAGTTACAGAGTGTTGTTAGTCATGTGCACCAACAGTATGACCTTCAACTCAGGTGAACCGAGAACTTCCTGATACTGCCTCCCTAACTCCCTAACTTCCAGAATGCTCCTTTCCTTATCATCAAGCACTCCCTCTTGCACTATGCACATCATCTTTTTTATATATATCCTGCTTACTTGAAGTAAACGGTTATTTTATTTTTTTTTTGTAAATTATTGAGTGTTCTTGCATTTTAATGAGTGAGTTTTTTTTATACCTCGGGACTGTGGGAAACAGTATTTCGATCTTTCTGTGTGTACAAAGATATTTTGAGATTGACAATAAAGTTGACTTTGACTTGACTTTGAAGCTTCACCCCTCCCTTTCTCCTCTCTCTGTGTTTAAATATGCAACCCAAACTCTACTCTTCGTCTTCCACTCCGCAGACTGTATGCTCTCTGTATGACTGACCAAACTTTCTTGCAAGAAATAAAATACGACAAAGACAGCTGAATGGTTTGATTCTCTATACATTTGATAAATAAATTCCAGCCATAGCCACCATATAGCACAAACAGATTAAACCAACAAACTCAAAAAAGCAAGAATCTTTCAGGTAGTACAGTCTATTTGAAGTGGGCCTTGATGTCAGTGAGACTTGACAACAGCCATCTTAATGTCACTTCTTCTGCTACCTCAGCTTCTCAGCTGTCTGGCCCAGATGGTGAAGATAGTCTCTTAAAAAAGCTGTACGGGCTGTTTACGGGCTGGAAGGACAGTTTGTTAATGCAAACATTGTACCAGTTTCTGATCGTCAAACAACTGCTCACCCAAAAAGTATCCAAACAGGCTTTGTTGTATTGTTTATTTCAATATCCATAGTGTGACCTATCAAAAAATACGTTTAACATGTAGGATTTGGTGTCATAGACTGATATGTTGTGATAAAAATGAAATATATTTTAGTAAAAAGGAAGCAAAGGACAAACATATATTAAGCAATCCAATTAATTTCCCTTCAATTCCCAACATTCATAACAAAGATTATATCACATATATATATATACACAAGTAAAACACATTAGGATGACAATCAAATAAATCAACAATCTCTTTAGTAAAACATGGATTCAACGAGTAGATAAGGTTAGTAATACAAAGCTGTATCAAAAATAACTGATATTCATCATAAGGCAGCATGTTGAGTAAATTGCACTGATTTTGAGGTAATTGGAAGCACAGAGAACGATCCTATAACTGGAATGGAAACTTTTTAACTAATTTGTGTATCATGAGCCCTTCATTTCAGCACACATGGCGCTGCAATCAGATGTCAAATGTAATAAACTGAATGAATCATACTGAAACTAAAAGATTTCTATTAAATGGCTTTGTGCCATTAAGGCTCTGCAGCTACACTGAACAAAGTCCTATATGTTAATATGTCACTTAACGTTATCAAGATTTCTCCAGTTCAAATTTCTCAAGGCAACACAGTGAGATATCAGCATTCAACAGAAGATAAGTTGCAGTTGGCACGTTACCATCAGTATGTGTTTAAACAAGCAGTTCAGGTTAATAAAAGTCTAAAACAATGTGAACATGCACATAAAAAGTGAAAAGTTAATCAGCAAAGTGTTGATGCGTGATTGTGGTTTTTTAGCACGCAAAAATGAAGAAACACAAGTTCACAACATTTAATAAGTCCCTTAGTTCCTGTTTTAAAGTCCAGTAGTTCACCCTTTCCAGCTTCATCAACAGACCTATTTCAAGCTCAGCGGACCACACCTTTGTATTGCAGTAGCAGTAAAACATGGTAATAATTAATTTCCTACTTTCTTTCCTATCATTAAAAGCAGACAGTGCAGCTGTGCAGTTCATGCACAACTACGGCATTTCCTTCTGATACTTCATTGGCTGCACATATTGTATCGCTCAGATGTTCATGTTTTTCGGTAGTAAGCATTTACTCTTTTGTAAATGGTACAACCTTTCTCCCGGCCACAAACACTTCGACTATGTTGCGATCATCACCTGTCGAAGAAGTCACAGAGACAAATACAATTAAAAGGGGATTGTCACATCAAAGTGTAAAACATTTGGACAAATAAACAGAAATTGACACTCACCCAAATTCAAGAACTTCTCCAAAATAATCTGAAATTGAAGTGACAATAAATTAGCCAACACTGAAAGCAAATGTTCTGCTTTAATTCATTTATGTGCAAAAAGATCAAGATTAAACCCGACTACCAACCTTTGGTTCCTCGATCTTGATGAGGTCGATAGGTCCATCAGCAGCAGCCACATTCACCCTCAGGGCATCAAAGTCTTTGCCCACTTCGAAGTTCCCTGTCCGGTCATCCAGGGACAAAGCTACGGAGAAAATGCATCACAAAAGAAACTGCTTTATTTTCTCCACACCCGTAAAATTTGCAATCAGTCACCATCAACAATATCTTGTTCCCACAGTCCTTCATGTGTGCTGAATCACGCGAGAATGTTGATGGAGAATATGATTGTGTGTCTGAACACAGGTCATGTTTTAATTGAATAAAGACACGTTTGTTCCTGAGATGGTTTCACCTTGGCTGCCTCCCAGTGTGGCGAGCCTGAACACTTCCTCGAAGGTGAGTGTGTCGTGTTCTGGGTCCTGGATGGTCAACACTTTGGACGTGTCCAGAGTTCTCCTCACAGCGTCCAGCATAGAGGCCGAGTAGCCCCCCGCCACGTCTGATGAAGCACCACAAACACACACCAGAACATTAATACAAGCTTGCATGCAGACATACGATTACATGTTTTAAAGAGTAGAAGAGTAACAGCAAGCAAATGTAAAAAAAACAAGTGCACAACATGGAACAAAAATAAAAGGTAACATTGTTAAAAGTAGGTAAATATGTAAAAAAGCAATACTGAGGTAGCTGCATCAACAGTGCTGTTACAGCATGGGCATTGAAATAGCTGTTAGTAGCAGTAATGAAGTAGCAGCACTACCATGAGTAAAGCTGAAGTATATCAATGAATTCAAATGAATACCGACCCGTATAGTTTTGTGTATATTGATATAGGTGGACTGTGTTATGCTCCTGTTATTATTTACCACAGGTGATACTGCTGTGCTTTCAGGCCACATGGCCAAACAGAGTTTAACTTTAATTTGTTTTGACCATGTAATCATGTTGACTTCTCTTTTAGTTTTGCAACAGCGTTTTAGTTATTTATTGCAGTGTTATAACAAATGGCCTACTTCCGAATCATCAAGGTGGTGGTGAACCGGTTGAGATGCAATTTGGATGGAAATAAAATGGCTTGACGCTGAAATTTACTTCCATTGAAACAATGTTCAAGTTTTACTAGGAATACATCGGGCCTTCACAAAAAGTTTGGAGTTCTGAATAAGAAATAAGATATCCTTGTTGACTAAGGTTCCTGGGAACTTAGAACATTTTTAAACAGCTAAAACAAACATTCACAAATAGGTATTTGGATCTAACTTTCAGTTAGAGATTTAAACCAGACCAGATCACCCATTAAAAGTAATCAGCTGATGGTTAGCCAGCCTGCTGCATGCCACATCTCTTTGTTGACTGCACTAAAACATTCAAATGATGACGGCTGTAAAACACAACACAAGTTAGTAGGAATATATTTGTACCTATCTCGTGCACGTTAAAATCTACAGTGCATGGATTTCCCAAAACAAGCCAAATCATCAAACATCATTTTCATGCTTCTGTAGTGTCCAACACATTTAGTCAAGAGTGCAAAAAAGAGCCATACGAGTTATACATAAAACTACGAGAACCAACAAATACATTATTTATCAAACTAAAAACACTAAAACTACAAGACCTGGTTGACTATAAAACTATTCAAATGATGTTCAAAGCCGCAAATCAACAATTACCTCATAATATCCAGGTACTTTTCCCACGGAGAGAAAGCATGCACAAAACTGCATTTTCAAAAAACCACCCGTACGAACAAATGCCAAACTGCATTGCATCACAACAAAAGGTGTTAGTCTGTGGAATAACTGTAATGATGCACTGAAATATTGTACAAGTCTATCTAAACTGAAAGTATTATTTAGGAGCCAAATCATGAATGGTTATGAACAGCATCTGTACAATCCCATTTGTTATTTCTTGTAATTGTAAAACTAATTTCTTTCTGATTGTTTTGTAAAAAAAAAAAAGCAAACAAACAAATTAACAAGACAAACATGTCGCTGATGACGATGATCTAATATTTTATTTATAAGGAACATGTACGCTAGAGGGGGTAGGACCAGAAACGTTTTAAGCTTCTTCTTGCCCCTGTTGAACATGACAGAGAGTATTTGAGAATTATTTTTATAATTATAATTTTATTTTTTTTACTTTGTTATAATTATTATTATGAGTGAGAAAAAAAAATATATATATATATATATACAGTATATATATTATTATTATTGTTGTATGTTTTGTTTCTGACATGTTCAATAAATTGACAAAAACAAAATCTGGTAATGCGTGTAAATGCTCACACCTGTTCCCAGCCCCAACTTCACGTTGTGTCTCAGGACGTTGCGGACATTCAACATTCCACTGCACAGCCTGAGTCAATAGAGAAAGAGAGAGATATGATAAGTTTCATATGTTGCATAACGAAGTCAATCTGTAATGCTTGATTGCTTTTATATTGGAAAAATGACATTCATCAGACGTTGGTCACATAGAGACTGTTTAAACAGAAGTGCATAGGCCAATAGCTTTGGGCCATGTCTTGTCAGCTGACTCACACACACTGTAACAGTTAGACACATTAAGTATATTCAAGTTTACAATTGTGTAATGCTCTTGATAAACTATTGGAGACTTACGAGATGTTGGAATTGGGACAGTGAGACAAAGAGGCTCCTGTCTCTCTGAACAGAGCCAACTCTTCATCACTTAGGAAGCAGCCGTGAGCCATCACTGTCTGTGAACCGTCATCATATTTAGCACTTTAATCTGCATTTATGTTTTTCCACAAAACGTCTGCTTGCGTGTGTGCCAGCAGAAATGTGACTCACCTTGTCAGTGAGCAGGTTGTGTTTGTGATACACATCTGTGTAAGACTTAGATTCAGGAAACAACTCCTTTACAAGCTTCACTTCCTCTACGTTTTCACTGATGTGACTCTGGAAAAAAAAATCATTAAACTGTTACTTTAAGAGAACCTGGGGTGTAGCATTCAGATTATTCCGCCTGAGGTGTGCAGGAGAGTATCGTTTTGCATGTGTGTATTTGTAATTCATCTTCCAAAACCCCCACTGGTCCAACAGTGAATGGTATCCACGGCGACAGTCCCCTGTGGAGATGGCCCGGTTTGGTTCCCACAGTGATCTCACCTGGATGTGCAGGTTGTTATTCTTAGCGATGGCTCCCAGCTGTCCCAGCAGGGCTCCTGTGCACGAAAGAGCGAAGCGGGGAGTCACCACCGGCCTCACCAGAGGATACTACGCACACACCAGAGGAGACAGGGTTTCAGAAGATGTCTTTATAATGCAGGCCGACCTTGAGTTTGACTGTTTATTGTAATATAGAATCTTACCTTTTTCTTCAAGAGCTCTGCAATGAACCTGGAGGGAAAAAAACAAAGATTGAACTCATTTTTAGCAGCCACATTTGAACATTTGAAAATGCACCCTTTTTCTTTTTACAAGAATGTCTATGTAAGTTACATTTTGCAAGGGATTGTAAAGGTCTCCATATAAAATCTTTATTGTTTTATTGGCAAGAACAAAGGTTTATGAGGCAAGTGTGACTGCAGATTAGATGTACAGTCTCTGTGATGTGCACAGGTGTAATTCAAGTATCAGTCGACGTCAAAAAAGTGATTTTCCTCACCCATATTAGCTTTGTCACATTCAGTGTCTATGGGCATAATTTCAGGGATGTAGGAGGTCATGTGGAAAAAAGGGTCTAGAGGGACATATCTAATGTGTAACATACATCTTCACGGCAAAGTACAACCCAACTGTGACACATCTGTCTCTGTCTGTTCAAGATATACTGTGGTAGCTTTGAGATGTACGACTGAAAACTTCACTCACACACATTTTATACATTCAGTGTGACTGAAGTCTCAGTGAATTTTTTCTGACTGGAAAAAACATTCACTACTCTATTCTAAATGAATCATCTATTATCAAGGTTACGCAATGTTTCAAAAGGGTCACTCTGTATTAAGCCGCATCTCCTGTTTAAAACACCCATTGTTTCACTATTTTAGTAAAAGCTGATACCCACCGGCAGGTTTCGTCCTGGGACTCCTGATTGGTCTCTTTGTAATGTTTCACAGAATTGTTCGTGTCCATACACACTTTCCCAACCAAGGCACGCTGCCCAAAGTCATCTGCAAGACGAATGAGGATGATGAGTAACAAGAACAGGAAACACAGTAACCCGTTAAGCCAAAACCCCCGGTTACCTAACCCTAACAACAAATGTGTTAATATTAAGTGATGGAAGAAGTACTGAGTTATTTAACTTAAGTATTTTTAAATATTCTGGTACAAGTAAAAGTCCTGCATACAAAACCGTACTCAGGTAAAAGTACAGATGTATTACCAACAATATATATTAATAAACCAAAAGTAAAAGTACTCGTTATACAAAATGGCCAATCGTGTATCACATTTTACATTACGGCATGATGCATTAATGTGTTCATCACAGCTGGTAAAGGTGGAGCTAGCTTTACTTTACATACTGATGTTGGATATTTTAAGCAAATTAAATTAGTCCTCATTGAGATTCCATAGGTTTTTGACTCGTTCCTACAGACTTCTCTTTTGGTAAAAACAATGTTGTCATTATCATTCCATAGAGCAGTAATTGTGCAACGATTAAACTTGCACTTCAACAATCTTCATAGTTTCACCTGTCACCTGCAGCATGTAAAAGCATTCCTTCATGTGTCAGAGTCAAGTCCTGCTGTCACTCACAAACACTAATCCCCGTATTTTTGTAAGAATTCTCCCACAGACACACATACCAATACACGAGTGCACCACACAGCTAAGTACCTGCATCTCCATCAAATACACGCCGCATTCTTACAAAAGGTCATGCATTTGAAAGGCTGTCACTTGAGAGTTATCACTTGAACCATCACGATCAGCATGTTTTAGCTTCTGGTCTGTTTTGACATTAATAAATATGCTGTGAAACAGTCAGGGGAACATTTGGGGCCGTACTAAATCCACAATAAAGATGTGTTGTTTGTTACACCAAACATATGTCAGAACAAAAGGAAATAATTTGATTGTAAACGTTTGACATACATTTTTTCCCAAACAAAGGATAATCTTGTATTAAAAGTCGAAGCCACAACTGTATTCCAGGGACATTGATGTGCACGGCCAACACTTTCTTTATAAACACACATAGATGATTTCACTTATTCTAGCTCACAAGAGTGTGTGTGTGCAAAGGCTTTGATTGCATCACTCTGACTTTCCTTATCATTCTTATTGGTGAATTTGATTCAGAGTATAGTTCATCAAGTCTTCCATCTGAGTAGATGTGTGAAAGAGCTTTTTTCCCTGCAGGCATTTTGACTACTAGCAGGAAAAGGACAGGTAAAGGTATTGAATTCAGGTGAGCTAGAGGAGATTCAGGGTCCTGGAAATGTGCAGGCTGGTTTGCTGGCACTTGGTCTGCAGGATCTATAAATGATCTACGGACATTACCAAGGATTTCTGGGAGTTATGGCCAACACGGGCATGTTAACCATTTGTACACAATACAAATGATGGTGGTGTGTGAGAGGGGCTCTGTGAGAGGGGATACCTTCTTATAATGATGTGCTTTAAGAAGGTTAATGTTACACATACCATACATCAGTTCACTCAGGGACTGTGAAAGAGCTTTGTGCGTCTGTGACCGAAACATTTCCACTCAAATCAGGCAGAAAATGTACATGTATAACGGATTTCACTGTTGAACTTTGAAACCAACAAAATTCTTGCCTGAGAAAATATTACATAATGGATTGTATGCATACTTTGTGTTCTTCATATACACTTTTTAAAATAAAAACAAATCCAGAAGAAAATGAGGCATACATGCTAAATAAGTGTTTGAAATTCTCCAACTTGTTAATCAACACACAGTCCTCACACTAAATACAAACACTTTGGTAGAAAGTAGGACAGATGCTCGTGACAGAGGACAAAGGTGGGGGTTCAACAGCCTTAATGACACGGAGTTACTCTGCACGGCTGCTAAAGCCAGCCCAGCCACAATGAGTGGGTCCCTTTACACTCAAGCAAGGGTGTGTATTCAGAATTACACAACATGACAACATGGTGAAAAGGACAAGGCATAAAGGGTGAGCCAGAAAAATGTTCCTATAAGCCAGTTGAGACCACCAAGGGAAACAGGACTAGTCTAACTTCAAAGGCACCACTTAGAGGGTTTTATGAACACACAATTATAATTAAAGGGCGTAATCTGATAGATCACCATATTACATACCCTTCACCACACCCAAACAAAACAAATAGATCCAGTAACTCGATGTGTGCTCTTCTTAAAATGACGACTACAGCTTGAATATGTCCGATAAAGCCATCTCTGTCTTTATGCACCACATCACTTTGACTAAGAACTGAATATATATATAACAAACGTACATAATATTACATACATTCTTATTTATTTTAGCAAAATCTCCAATTGTTTCAAATAAGGGCACAGCCTAAATTGGTAACCATCCATTAGTCACCTGCCCTGAGGCTAGATAATGTTTACAGGAGTATGGTGTAAACTCTTCTGGCACTGTTGCATTTGTGTGTGTGTGTGTGTGTGTGTGTGTGTGTGTGTGTGTGTGTGTGTGTGTGTGTGTGTGTGTGTGTGACATCTTACTTGCAATCTGGGCCAACAGCAGAGAGGCATCTGTGTGTATGGTTGCAAAGTAACATGCTGTGGTTGTTCCATTCCTCAGGGTCCTTTTCTGAAAAACACAGGGATTATATTACACGAAGGTAAACATTCAAGCTCTGTCCATCTTTTTTGTACATTGTTAAGCTTTTAAACGGTTCACACCCTTCTCAAATGATATTGTTTCTGCAACAATGGAGGAAACCTCACTGAATTTCTGCTTTTGCAAATGGAAAAGTCATCAACATTTCAAACCTGATTTACATGTCCTGCGTTACATAATTCAATTTTGACTTCCTGTGAATGATCGACGGCAGCTCTATAATTTTTATTGGCCGCTTAAATCATGGTGCCAGAAAACTCACCACTACTTGAGAGTAGACCTGTTGGGCGAACTCCAAGTCCTTGAAGCGTGACTCCACAGGAAAGGTGTATTTATTGAGCCACTCCAGTAGGGGCATGTCCAGGGCCGTGCCAGCGTAGCTGTACTGGGGCGCGTGGATGTGGGTGTCCACCAATCCGGGCATGAAGAACTCACTGCAATGCAGCAAGCCATTAGCATGGTTCAAATATGCTGAATTATGTATGTGTTATGCATGCTGATCTAATAGCCACATACTAATGCAGAATATATTCAGTCATTCATATATATTCAACTTACTGTTGTGCCAGTTGAATGACTTCTGAAGGACTGAACCCAAAGGTCTGAGAGAGGCTGTCTAACTCTGCAGCTTTCCCAATGAAAGCAATCTGACGGCACAATGTAAAAGAGGCAATGATTAGAAAGTGGTTGTATGCAAAAGAGAGTAAGCTGTTAACTTGGTAAAAAAAAACATCATACTTATATTTATCATTAATATTCATTAAGACATGTTCTAACAAATTGCATCAATGTTAAATTCTGTAAAAAAAAAACACACGTTTTGTGTAAAGGTCTTTTATGATACTCTTTACACTGTATCCACGTTTTTAAATATCAGTGTAAGATTTACACAATGTCCGAAAAAAATATTTTGTTTTGAAAAGAAGAGAGAAAGACACATGTATGATTGCTTGGGGTGTTTTAAGGACTTCATTAGTATTGTTATCCCTTTTGTATTTGAAGAGGGTAGCCTACTTCAAACTGTTATGTGGTAATTTCCAAGGGCCTGGCGTTTTTAAAGTTGCTCAGCAACAGATTAATGTGGTATACAATTAAGATATTATGCAACAGATTTACGCCTTCTCCGTTTGGAAATCTATTTTTTATTCCTGTGTGCCAAATTGTGTCTCTTTGCGCAAGGTTATGGATGAGTCACAATTAGCTTAAACCTATTCATTAATTAAGAGAAAAAGGCTTAACGCATTGCTTTTTTTCATACACTAACATTAATAGCATAAATAGTCATACTTATTTATAGTTATCAGACCTGAGGCTGTTAGACATTCGAGTGTGACAAACCTTTCCATCTGTATCCACTCCCAGGACCTCATCTTCCAAGATCTGCAGCGGTGTTTGCTGGGTAGAGTGGATAAATGTTCCCCTGTAGACGTATTTAATTTCGGTGGTGGGTCCTTTAGAGTTTGCCATCCTTTCACTAGATCAGCTGGAGTCGAGCAGTGACAGAGAGATACCTGCCGCAGCTACGGAGCACCGGGGTTTGTCTTCGGAGAGCTCCGATCAACACCATGCACCAGGACGCGCAACTCCCACAGAGACAATCTGCAGCCAATCAGAACACAGGGTGAGTGTCTATGCGTGGGAATGGGTTTCTCGGTTTGAAACGTCGTTTTAGTATAACTATCTGCTTGTCACAGTCCCCAAGACTGACTGATAACAAAAATACGTCTCCAGTTTAATTTCGCTTTCCTTTTTTCAGGACTTGTGACTAAATAGCCACTAAATAGTAGGCTAGGTGCGGCACTTTACCTTAGTGCAAGGTGCCACTTTCGTTTTAGATGACCAAGAAACCGTGGTTTCCGTGGCAAATAACAGCATGCCAGATACAGAAAAACTGCGGATAGAGTGCTCAATTCTCCTAAGCAAATACACCTAATGATATATTCTTATGCGCAAAATAGGCGAATAAAAAATAATCAGATTTAATATACTTTTTAATCTCAAAGAATGATTCCAGGGAGGAAGTGCCATCGTATTAATAAAGGAAGTGGATTTAAAAAACAGAGACAGCAGCTCAGTATCTGGAGTGGTGTTTTAAATCCCTACAATTCGACTTTTACGCGATCTACGAACACTTTACCAACTTATTGTTTTCCTTATTCACATCTTCCAATACTTCAATCAGTACTGCAATAAAACATCCTAGACCGTGTCTGGTGTTTAGAGATGGTAAATATATCTAAACTCAGGCTAAAGTTCAAGTTGGCATGTGGGTTCTATATTTACAGGTTTTAAATTCCAGTGGGCCTCATTTACAGTAATAAGCTGAAGAGAGAGAAGGACATACTTTACATAGATAGCTATAACACAAAAAGACACTCTGTGTCTTTCACAACATATGGCCAAACATTCATTAAACCATATGAACTTCAATATTGCAAACGTTGCTTTAAATGTAGGTATGCCAGTCAGCATATATATGGCCTCTTCCTTTTTGTCAGTGTACTTTCGCAATTTTTGTCATAGGTCCTCATGGTGTTTGAAACATTTCCTCATAGCATCTTTTACCAGCTCTGTACATCTTTATAATGGGGTAATACTGTATTAGAGTGGTTATGTCTGAAAAGGCTGACTTTAAATAGGGACATTTTATAAATCAAGTTGGTTTTATATTTGCTAATGTAAGGGTTTCATTTTTTGGGAAATAATTTAGCAAAAGCCGGGTATTATTTTGGCTTATCCTATTGCACGGTAATGTGGTACTAAAGGGCGAAGAAAAGGCAAGAACATAAACAAGAAACAATTTATCTTTGTTATCTTGTAAACGCCCTTTTAAAAAACATTTAAAACCAATAGACCAGCTTCTATTTCAGTAAATATGTTGCTTGGAACAGTCAACATTAATCATGAAAGTAAAAGCAGAACAGAGCCATGTGATATACATCAGGAGACCTTCATAAAGGGAAATCCTATGAGGTCATGACTAAAATATATATTGGCACATGCTTTTAAACGTATCGACCCCATGACACACACTAACTTTGGATGGTACTACCGGTTTTTCAGTAAAGATGGGTTTTATTGATTGTTATCAATACAGATGCTTCATATCTATCCCCAGGGGTTCAGTTGGGTTTTGTTGTGTGGGGGGGGCTCTGTCTTGAAGGTGGTGTGTGTGACCATGACATTACTTGTTAGATGCTTTTATCCAAAGCGACTTACATACCCAATTGCTACTGTGGGCAATCCCCACAGGAGCAATTTGGGGTGAAGTGTCTTGCCCAGGGACACAACGACATGCTGACTGCAGTGGGGTTTGATCCTGTGCTCCCCCCGATCCGAACCCCAACGCACTAGTGCACTGCCCCACACGCCTCCATGACCTTATGGCCAAAATGATAACGGTTATTTTGATCAATGTTGAGGATATTTTTCAATATTATTCATTGGGAAATAAAATAAGTGAAACAAATGTTTATTTCCCAATGAATAATATTGAAAAATATCCTCAACATTGATCAAAATAACCGTTATCATTTTGGCCATAAGGTCATGGAGNACCGCGCCTTTTTCCCTATTTTTCGACGCTGCGGCTTATATAACGGTGCGGCTAATCTATGGATTTTTACAGCTAACGGCCAACACCTTTAACTCTATGGGCTCTATGGCCGGTCCGCGCCCCCCACCTTTAACTCTATGGGCTCTATGGGCTCTATGGCCGGTCCGCGGACCCCCACCTTTAAGCGGCGGGTTCCAGCAGGAAAAGCTGGAGGCCGGAAAAGAGTGAGACAGGTAGCGCGCAAAAGTAAAAGTGGAACCGAGAGTGGTATGCCGCTGCTGCGGCTTATATTCAGGTGCGCCTTATAGTCCGAAAATTACGGTATACAAATATATAAAAAACATGTCTATGAAGTGTTTTGCTCAAAATACCAAACAGATCACCCATTCTAGC